TTATGCATCAAATGACCTGTTTATTTAGCTGGACACTAAGAGATGTATATCCAAAAACTTCAGTTTCTAATTACAGTTTTAATAGTCCAGACCTGATGGGATGGTGACTGAGAATTTGGGGGAACTGAAGCTGGAGACAGGGAGCACCTTGTTTCCCCTGCAATGTGAATCAAAGACTGTAAATATGCACAAGCTGGTCCTCTCTTACTGTGCTGTCTTTTTGTCCTGCAGCAGCTTGCTGTAAATGTTTACCTCCTAGCAAGAAAACTAGATTAAAGAGGAGAGCAATTATGTAAAGCAAAGGTTCATATATCACAGAAGTCATCTGTATGAAGTATATTTATTAAGACTGTTGCAAAGATCAAAAGTGAATTCTCTCATGTGTTGCCATGATTCCAGGGAAATAACTTGGTGTCTGGAAGCTTGGGCAGATGGTTGCTGTAAGCAGCAATCTCCTGTTCTAATGTCAAAGATTTTGAGCCTCTTCAAACTGTTACCTGCATAAGTTCTGTTTCTTTATGCCTTGCCCTGATGGAGGTAGGACAAGGTTCAGTAAGGACATCCTGCATCGCCTTTATCATGAAATTTTCATACTTAAGCAGCAGATAAATGGTAGGCTTCTTAAGTAATGTTATGATAGACTATTGCTTATATCTTAAGCACTTTCAGAACATCCCAGAGGATGATTTTTGAGGTCATATCTGCAAAGACATTTTTGTATGAAAAAATAACATTGAGCTATGTTCGGTGTCTGAGATTAGGGCCTAATGCAAAGGCCATTAAAAGTCCTTGGGAACCCTCCATACTTCGCTGCTTTGTGGGCTGGACCTGGCAGCACTGTTGAAAAATGAGGTGCCGGTTAGCTGCTCCCACAGCTGACTCGTGTCTCCTGTGTGATCTTGCAGTCCTGGATGTTCCTGGTGGTGTGTCAGAGCCCGTACTCTTCCTAGGACACGATCGGATTGCCACAGGAGGCCAACTCTAACAGCCTCAGCTGAAGCAGAAGAAATAACATGGAAGGCAAGTGTAAGGTAATCTGCCTGGCCTAAATAGATAGTGATTTAGTCTTTGAAACATGTGGATTTAAATCCACTTTAAACCATGTTTATGAATTATAACATCTCTGACCACCTTTATCTGTGTAAGCATCCAATTTGTCCTCTCAGTGACGTCCTCTAGTGTTGAGCCTGAGTTATTTTTGAGAGTAAGAGGTTTATTTTGCTCAGTTTCTAATGTTGTTTTCATTTTATGATTTGCAATTGCTTCGTTCTTTTGATGAGAAGATACCCTCTACCTTCTCTCTGCTGTTTTAACAACTTTCTATCAGTGCTCCCCTCTTGATTAATTTCTTTTTGCTGATGGAGCAAACTGAAGTCCAAACCCTGCTATTAATGGTCTCAGTGGATGCTTTGATTGGAAAAATAGGCTCACACTACTCTTAAAACAAGCCGAGGGTTTTTTTGTGATCATGACTCAATACACTAGCATGCTTCCCTTTTGTGCCGGGTGGGGGGAGCATTTATATAATCCATGGGATTTGTCATATTCACTCTCCAAGTTACAACTGATGGGTACTAATTTGGGAAATTCTTATTTAAATTAAATACCCTCTAACTACAGTGTGTTAATCGGCTTGTTACTAATTAGGAAACAAATCCCATGGGTGGGACCATCCTTTCTAATGCAGTGGTTCTCAAACAGTACTGCAGATCTTCTGTTTCCCCTCTGGTATGACTCAATGATCAGACCCTGTTTCTAATATTTTCTCCTTCGTAACCTGCCCTTTATCCGATGCAATCCAGCCCACAGCTGCTTTTCTCCCCTGGTGGGTAGCGAGGTGAGCTGGGAAGGCGAAGGAAAGTGGCTATAAGGATGAGAAACTAGGGTCTTTCCATTAGCTGGGCACTGCCTTTGCCCAGCCATCGAGTAACCCAAAGGCAACCCCCAAAATCTTTCACAGTCCTTATATTCCTTATATCTCTAGTAGGCTTGGATCCCTCCTCTCAGTTCCCTAATTGCTGTCTCCTTGAGCACCCACGGAGAGGAAAGACCCCTATGGTATTTCCCTACCCTAGCAACATCTCAAACATGGGTGGTGAAATTCACTCCAAATGATTAAGCACTGCAGTTGTAAATCCTTAACAGCACCCAACAGCCCTGTGCTCTGATCCTTCCCAGGACGCTGTCGTGGTGACAAGAAGTATCACAAGTGAACCTCCAGGTCTGTGGCTGTTGGGTGAATTACTGCGTGCGTTTCAGCTGCGCTCCTCTCCATGCTCCATAACTTTTCCTGTCCCCTGTGATATCCTGATGTCACTGCTGAGTCCAGCATAATTCACCTTTATCTTTTCCTTAGTGTATGTTGACCGTATGCCTTGACTGATGTGGTCCAGTGGTGGCAGTGCCAGGCTGGCACGTGGACTGCCTCTTGACTGAGAGGGTTCTGTCCCCGCCCTGCACCTCCAAAACTGGCTGTTGTAGACTCACCTACTCTTGTACCTATTTGAGTGTTTGTTTCTAGCTGTGTACAGCTGCTGCGTGTTCTATAATTACTATATTAATTTTTAATGGGCCTTTTGCTTCTCTGGTGTTCTCATTTGTTTACAGAGATAGATACATCAGTGAGCAAATTTCATCAGTACAGAGAATCTGATGTTCCATATCTATCTTCTGCATAATATTTCTTGTCTATACAGTCCTAATTTTTCTATTGGGTCCCCATGCATAACTCAAACAATTTGGTTAAAAAACAAAAAAAAGATCAACCTGTAATGATTGATAAATCACCTGAAGGAACAATAGTTACTGCAAGGTATTTTTTATAGTGACTTGAAAATCACATATTTGAAGTCACCAGACCAGATTTATACTCATCAAAGAATGATGATCCTACAGTAGTAGGTACGAATAAGTTGGTGCTCTCACTTCAATTCTTGCTGACTGAATCAATGTTGTCATGGTTGTCAGGAGTTACATCTGAGAGCGCAAGACCCAGCACTTCTGTACATGTTAAAAAAAAAAAAAATAGTTTCAGGTCTGGTCACCTGTTTGAAAAGAAAATACTTTGCCCTAAAATAATTCATGTTTATTTTACCTTGGGATTATAAAGAGCAAGGAAGGTTTCTGTAAATCCTTAAATGTATATGACTTTTTAAGTAAACCCTGCGTAGGTTAGGCACCATAACAAAAACCATTTGGCTTGGATATTGATTGCAGTAAAGTACTTGAAAGGTTTAAGGACTCAGAATGTAAGACTTGCTTCAAAATTCCAATATTTCTCAAATGGATTTTTTTTTTCCCTCTAAGAAATGACCTACATTGTGTAGCTGTTATCATTGCCCGTGAGTGGTTCATTGCGCATCTCTCTCCAGTGCGATCGCTCTTGAAGAATGTGACCCTCCCCACAGCAGGAGCTATAGCAGGAGTATATCGAGAGAGACTCTCGAACGCACCCTGGCTTCCAGAGTTACAGCCAGTGCCTCCATCAACACCCCTTCCCTCTGCCAGGAGCAGCTCCCAGGTCCCATCAGCCTTTCACACACGCACCGCATGTACATGCACCGATGGTTCACTGGGTTTGTGGGTGTCACCAGTGGTGACGGTTAGGCACTTTCTCACGCTACACTAGAAATCCATGAGGTGGCTCAGAAATTCAGCTTTTTCATTTATAACGCATGGCTTTGACATCACTGCTTTGAGTGGATTTGGTTGCCACCTGGAGTCTCTAAATTCGGTTTGTTGCATACCCTTATAGAGGAGAGCTGGGTAGAAAATACAGAAACAAGAAACAGTATTATCTTGATTGTTTTATTAGAAAAAGTATTTCTCTCTTCCTTCACCCTTTTCATCATCTTTTTCCCCTTAGTTCTCTGGCTGTATATCTAGGAGTTCAGCGTAGGGATTCTAAGAAAGTATAACCCATTGATTTCAAGAACCAGTGGGTAGATGGACCCTGGCTGGCCCTTTGAGCTTTTCACGGCTGTAAGACTTGGACAGAGAACACGTGAGAGATGCAGGAGAAGAAAGGTTTCTGCTTCCTCTCTCCAGGGTTCATTCCCAGAAAAGTAGACAGAGGGCAGCTGTAAGAGACCAAGATGAGGATTAATGAAAATTGGAATTAGACCCAAGGAAGGAGAAAATATTCAATTGAGCAGTAGTTTTGGTTTCATTAAAAGATTTCAAAAGAGTAGATGGATAACAGAGAAAACATCTATAGAAAAGATCAGCTTTAGGCATATTTAGCTGCAGGACAATGATCTAATACTACCTACATGCAGTATGGAGGGGGTATCCAGCAGTACAACTGACTGTCAGATTAATACAGTCTCCTGTGCCACTGTTTAATGGACGTATGACGTTGCTATAAGAAAGCACTTTGGATTTGCAGAGCTATGCAGGTAAATAAAATGTATTACAGGTCTAGAAGAGTAAAAGGGTTTTCTCTTTTCCATGAGAAGGTAAATGGCATCTCAGTGGGAAAAGTAGGTTGCAGAACAAGGAACAAATACTATAATATATTACTGACGAAAGCAGAGTGGAAGAGTGAAGGTGGGAATCTATTCAATTCAGCACCACCAACCCCGGACTTGTGCCCTGGAGGGTTAGGAGGCCACCAACCAAATGTGCAGCCAGGGCCCAGCGCGACTGCTCACGCAACACATCATGCTCCGAGTCAAACGTTGCTATCGTCTGCTGACGGTGCCCCAATATCACTTGAAGCGATGATGTAAGCGGTGGTGATATTCATACCTAACTTTCATGTAGCTTTGCTTTAAAACTGTATTAGATCTGTTTTGTAAAGGCGGAGGCCAACATGAGAATCCCTCTTTAACAAATGGGGACATTAGGGCACGGAGGAGGAAATGAATTACCTATCATCTAATAGCCTAGTAATAAAACCCGGGTTCAGATCCTTTAACACTTCTGAACTGAGTCACCCCCACCGCACACCACTCCCGAACATATATCCAGGCAACTCAAAATGTTACACCACACTCCTTTGCTCTGGCAATTTTAAATCTTCTCTTGAGGCAATGGGGTGAACGTATTTCTTGGGAAAAGACTAGTGGCATCATTGCTGCATAGATGCACCAGTTGATGATCTATACAGTGACAAAAACAAGTGCTCTTAAGGGCTCTTTCTCAATATAGTATATGTAAAAAGATTAATACAAATGTGATTGATACGGAAATAGCATTTCTGAATGAAAACCTTGAGCTCTTTATTCATCTTAGATTTAAAAAAAAAAAGACCGTAAAACATATTTTTTGATTATAGAAATTAGTCCATTAGTGATTTAGCTGTATCCCGACAGAAGTGGAGCTGTAACTAGGATCAGTGTCTGACAGGCTGACTTGTGAGTTGCCATGGTAACTGACTGGAATGTGGTGTGCTAAAAAAATTGCAACCTCTGGGCTAAATTCAGGCCTGGAGAAGAGCAGATGGCTGGGACTCAGTTGCCTCAGAGGGTGCAATACCATCGGCTTCATGGGTTTTCAAATGCTCAGAGAGCAAGCTGTAGAGAAGGCATATAGATGTGAAGATTCAGAAATCTCCCAGGGTGGCAGAGTCAACACATTGGAGGTCCTGAAAATGCAGAAGTAGTGAGGAGCAAAATTTAATTTAAGGCATTAATTTGTTCCAGCTTTGGTTGCTGGGCCTGATGTGCTTTATCTGAAGCAGGTTGGGTTTGATGAACTTCTGTGTAATCCGACTGTGCCTGAAAGCCTTGTGGATTGCTCCAGAGCCAGGGACTCGGTGCTCCTATAGTCCTTTCTCTGAAGCAGCCAGCTGAGACAGGGAGGGCTTCCCATTTCGCTGGGAAGCTAAACTCTTTGGCAGCCTTAGATCCATCCAGAGCCAAGGAGTTGGGATCCCAGGCAGCTGCTAATTGAAATGGATGTTGTCAGTATCCCTGAACCCCTCTCAGAGCACTGGCAATATATTTCATTATAGAAATGCTGTATGCCCATATTTTCAAAATAAAATTTCCTTAGAATTTTCTGTTCACAAAACACAATTTAAGAATAAGAATTTAAAAAAAAAAAAAAATTTTTGTTCCATCATGGCCCATGACCAAATTTTAACAAGAACGTTTCTCATAAGGGAGAGATTCTGCTGTGTCAGCCAGCTGTGTCAAGTATACAAAACCTGAGTACATGGGAAGCTGCCATACCTATGGGCAGAATTCAGGAAAAAATCCCAAAATGTGGGCAGGGTGTTGGATTTTTTTTTTTTTTACTTTGTTTACTGTTAAGTATATATACTTTTCTTTGGAATTACTTTTGGAGATACAGCTGAAAAGGTATTGATAAGTATAGGCAGCCTGACTTCAAAACCTGCTGAATAAGGTAAGGCTACAAGAGAGGTCAGAAAATACTGGATTTAGATACGAGTTAGGCAAAGAGGACAAAGTTGCAACCAGTAGCACAGGTGCATAAAAAGCCAACCACATTGTCCATGGTCAAAAAACTGTAGCTCAGAGAAGCTATATGTTATGAGGAGAGTTTGCCACTTGCAAGAGTCATCCTTGTTAGAAGGGCACAAACCCACGTGCACGCACTCTCTCTTCCACCATATGTCTATATGCCACAAGTATCTGTAAGGTGCCTGCTACCGGCCTCATACTCTACAGACGAAACATGGTAGCCGAGCGGGCAGGGCTTAGCTGTAGCGTCCTGAGTTGCTCTTGTTGGCATAAGGGCCACCAACAAGCCTTGCTCTCTTAGAGCTGCTTGGCCTCTTGCTCTGCCAGTGCTTTGTGCTGGCAGGATTTTTGGCCATCTCCAATTCAAAAACCGTGTGACCACATTGATATGACACCAAGCCTGAGCTAAAATACCCTGCCTGTGAGCTGGGCTGGGCACCATGGCCAGACAGCGTGGCAAGCGGGCAGAGCTTACTCGGGTCTCCCCATACTACCTGGGTTAGATGTACCCTGAGCCTGTCCAGGGGGGCTTTCATGTGCACGCTTCATCTCATCTGAAAGCAGACATAAAAAATGGGTCAAACATATTGTGTCATGGTATTGTGCTGTTCCTTTCTGATGACAGTGAGGTGTCCTTCCTTGGTGACTGGGTCCCACAGGCAGGTGGGATGAGTTCCACCACCCTCAGTCCTTCATCCCCCATCTGCAAATTGGGGGCGAGGGGTATGTCACGATCATTAACACGCTGAGGACTGTCAGGGACTCGATTATAGCAGAACTTACAAACAGCACATAAATTACCCCAATCAATAGGCTGGTTTTCAACTTTTCTTGATGAGAAGATGAGGCTAAGTGATGAGTCCAAGCTGGTTTTAACCAGTGTCCTTTCTAGGAGCCTGCTTAGCAGACTTGAAAACTCCTTCTACTAACTATTTCAGTTTAAGTTACTTTATTTCAAAACTTGGTTTTCAGCAATTACTGTATGTTCTATTTTTTTCAGATCACATTTATTGTGGGTCCTTTATACAGGTGCAGCAGTAAGTACGCCAAAATGAATATGTGCTAGCATATTAAATTCATTTTCCGAAATTGCTTTTTTAAAAACATGATATGCCTTGGTATCTGCAATCTACATACCATTTCTGTGCACTTTATTTTTTCCTGTACAGCTCAGCTATATTGTTGCTTTCCCCTTCCGGCATTTTTTAAAATTCCTCCTATTTCAGTGGTATCTCAGTTTAGGTACTTTGGTGTGCACTGAAGCGCCATTTCTGATAACAGTTTTATCATCATCCAAAGGTAAAGAATTTCATGCTTAATTATTTAATAGACTTAAATATACTTCCTATGAAATGAATAATGCATTCTGCATTTTCAAAAATTTAAATAAATGTTGGTTTTGTGCAAGCAAAGAGTTATTGTAGCCCTCCTCATATTTTCATTTTTCAGGAAAAAGAGGAAGCGAAACCTTTTCTTCTACCTGTGCCTTTGTTTTTTTCTAAGAAATTTAGTATTTCTAATTATGGCACAGCAGAGGGAAATTAAATTATATTTCAAAACAAGATTCTTCATGTGAATAGTGCCTGGCACTTCTGTCTAATCTCATCGCATTTGGGCTGTCAGACTAGCACAATAAGTAACTCCTCCCGTAACCTCTGTTTTGTTGTTCTTTTTTTCCTGTTGCAAGTAATTGTCAGTTCTAATGTTTGCATGCATGTCAACTGAAAGACTTCCTAAATTACAAGGCTAGAAGAGACCTGTTTTAGTGGGAAATAATTTTAGCCTCTCTTCCAACAAAAATTTTATGGGCTGAATTTAGACACCATTTGCTTGCTGAGCTAATATTATTTGGCTTATCTTTTATTTTGTTTTCATTTCTTCACCTAATTTCAATCTTTGAAAAAGCATCTATTTAAAAGAGACTACCAGCATGTATTTTTTTTAGCCAAAGTATTTAAGTATTCTGCTAAAGAAGATGATCAATATTAGCAATTTCTAATGCACTTGCCTGTTTTTTACGAGAACATCTTAAGATTTCATCTTCACTTGCTGAAGAATGCAGACTATGCAGAAGTGAGTAGGCTCTTTGGGAAAAACAAAACATCTTTTTTGTTTACTCAGAAGAACAGAGTAGTGAGCTTCTCTCTCCCAATTTTCTAGTTGTACTTAGTTCTCAGTGAATTCACCTTTTTCTGAAACTCTGCACTCATTTCATTCTTTTGGTTGAACTCAGTTGCATCTACTGGCTTTCTTGGCTTTTGGTCCTAATCCCAATAGGCATCCTAGACTCTGGAGTCAACCACCAGCCGTGAGGCAATTAAAAATGTGTTTCTTGTCTACTAATTGGTACAGCCCAGAGACAGGCTGTACCAATAAAATCTGTGTTGCTTTTTCTTTCCTGATTTCAGGTGAGCTAGATCTTATGAATCTGATAAATGGAAGTGTAGCCCAACAAGGTATTCTTATGAATGCAAAACACTAGAAGAACACATCAAAATCCGTACTGTTAGATAAGTCATATAAGAAAGACCCTTCATTGTTAAAATTGTGCTGGATGCTGAAGAGATCCTCAAACCATTTTATATAATATTTTGTTATTGTCCTCATCAAGCATCAGCTTGAGGATCGTGTTGAGCTTTTCAGGTGGAAAAAGCAAGCCATAATTCCCAAACTGGAGATAGTGCTGTGATGTGATTCTGAATATCTCAGCATTCTCTTTAGAAACCACCTTTCAGTTCACTTCTCTTTCTTGTTTTCCATATACAGTAAATGAATGAATATCTCCTTCCTCTTCTCTTGCATCATGTAAGCAGCTTCCACGTGTGTCCTCTGGATTTTTCAAGTTGGTCCTGAATTTTCTGGTCTGTAATTTGCGTCGATAAGAAAGATAGGCCTAATATGACAGTACCAGCAAGGTCCATTTGCTAATGGACAAAGGTGAAATAACACTCCAAGCGAGTAGGAAAGGGAAGAGTTAAAACAGCGTGCGTGCAGCCGCTGGGAAGGCTGTGATTAGGGAGTGCTTGCTGGGGTTGCCTGTTGTCACAGGGTCCAGAGGTACTGACGGAGATCAGGTCCTCGGAGTCCAGGAGGCCCATTTAAGAACTATTTTTGACTACCTGTTTCTCTCTGCTGCCTCTGTTCTCTATGTAAATCCATTCACGACTTCAGTGTTGTTGTGCCTGAAGGTATTCGAAGCAGAGTCACTCTAGAAGAGCACCCCTTAAATCATGCAGGGCCCAGGATGGCTTCCCATTAGCTTTTTCTGTGTGTTTTTTCTCTTTTTTTGACAGCGAGATGACTGTTGTAACCACTCCGTAAAGATGCCACTCAGGCTTTCTGCCCCGCTGTAAATGTCTTGAATTAGAAACCCCACATTGCTCAAATCCGATACGTGGCCCTCTTCACTTCTTGTTAGAAGCCATTACCAGCAGATAGATGAGCAGTTTTCGAAGTCTCTGGCTTTGAGCTGCAAGGGACAGGGCTTTCGGAAGACGTCTGTTTGTTCTGGGCTTTGTTTCACCTGTGCGTGTGATCCAACCTCAAAAGTCCAGGACAAATGTTTCGGTCTTATTCATTTATCTGCAGCCTTGCTTGAGGGATGAGTTCAGGGATTTTTGTGTAGCTGAATCTGTAGATCTGCACCAAGTCTGCAGTAGTTAAATTATAGGTCGTCTTTTAGAGATTAATGTTCAACCCTGTAACCAAGTTGGGGGCGGGGGGACGTTTTAAAAATCAGTAGTCAAAATAAGGAAACAGGATTTCCCAATGTCAAGCTGTACTTTGCATTATGAAATGCAAAGAATGCACCTGATTTCTAATTGTGTAACAGGGAAAAAGTACTGTTTGAGTGAGATAAGGATTTTTGCTCAGTTTCACTTGAGAAAGCAGCAGCAGTATTTTTCTAGCCAGTGGGAAACTATGCAGTTTGATGTTTTTGCTAAACTGTCAGTTTTTAAAGGCACAGAATCTAAATCTTATCTTTACTCAAAATAATTTTGGAACAAAACCTAGAATCACCTTTTGCATAATTTTGGGGGGCAAAAAAAATCAGCTCTTTGGACTACAAGAAGCCATGCTGTTCTCTTACAAAAGTGACCATTTGGCCATATCCTCAGGGTATTCCAGTAAGAGTAAAAGAAAATCAGGTGTTTTTTAAATTATACATAACTTTGCATCAATTCAACATCCCTTAGTCAACCTTCAGTTGCACCTCTAACTTTTGTACTGTTTTACGCTGTGGCTACACCAGATGGATCGTTATAGTTGCGTGATTTGACCTGAGCCATAGCATTTCACTACATCACTGAGATCTTAAAACAAGTCGGATGCAGTACTTCTGGAAAACAACATTTCTGTAATTTCTATTTTATATACAATGGTTTGCATATAGACAGTAATCTATTTTCAATAAGAGAAATTCCTAACTACCATTTTTTCCACATACATCTACATGTATGGAACTTCTTCTACCATGTATCCTTAGCACCGAGTTAAATTTTAGTGTGAAGAGATTATACTGATCAGTCCATACTTTCATTTGTGAAGATGAATAATTACATGGCTTGTCTGCTAGGACTCGCATAATGATTTAAATCAGTTTTTTGTTTTCCTTTCTCTGTTATGAGAAAAACATTGTAGGTTCTTTCTATTATGAAATGCATGCCCATGATATTTCACGCACGGGTATTCTAACTGGTCTATTAAACATTATAGACACAGAAACTTCATAATCCTACTGATCTGCATCGTAGGCTGCATGTGCTGCTTCTCATCAGAGATATGTGGATGTCAGCTGTATTCCCAGTGCATTTTGGCTGTTTGACTCTTTCTGTCATACCATCAGCTTGGGTCACTGAGGCAGTGGCAGTGATGAGTGGTGGGCTTGAATCCAAGTTTATTTTGCTTATGATTTCTTTCTGCAGAAAGAGGTGAGGAAAAAACAGTGGAAATTTACAGTATTGCTTCATGTTCCTTTCTTAATACTTTCTTCAGCTGCTATCACCTAAAGCCGATGTATTTTCTTTTGCATGGGTAGACTCTGGTCACAAGGCATTTCAGACTATCTTTGGTATGCTCATGTACCTTGTTTATGGGCAGCATCTCTTGTTGCTTTCTTTTGCTGTCTTGAACTAGCCAGAAAGCAAGGTTTGCCCAGCAAAGAGCCCCTAGAGCAACCTCTAAAGCAACCCTACTACTGCAGTTTGAAATCATTATTGTGGCATGAAAGAGGATCAATGGAGCAACAAAGTTACTTAGGCATAGCTGCTTGTGATCCATTTCCTTCTCTCATTCTACTTTCCTCTCTCTTGGAAGGAATTCTGAAAATATCTTTTTGTTTCCCTAAATGGTGTATTAGTTTAATAGATTTTTAAGGCCTGGAAGGTACCAGGAAGGGCAGCTTGTCTGATCCTCCTGCCCAAACAGGGGAATTTTTTCATTAGTTTTTAGCCATCAGATCTTGCTTGCATTTTTCTATTAGATAAAGAACCATAAAGAATGAGAAGTCATCTCTGGGCTGGAATACACCCCTAGCAATTTTAATGTGTTCTTATTCTTCCAACACATTACAATCTAGAAAAGTCAATACTCTGAAGCTAGATTTAATATTCTAGCAATGATCTCCATGAAGTGGCATACCAATGTAATTAGCTCCCTATTTCCAAGGACTAAAGGATCAACTCTAGATTTTTATAGACAGTTAGCTTTCAGAATTACAATTTGATTAATAGGCATGTATAATGCATGTTTTCTCAGGACAGCGGTAATAAGATTTCAGAAGAAAATTGAATAAGACAATGCAATTAGTATCCATGATTGCTCCTTTTGTTTTTCTCTTGATCCTTTGGGGACGGGGGGTGGGGGGGGAGAGGAGAGAGGGAGAGGTGGCTTTTTTTTAGTGTTTCATAAGTAATGTCCTGTTATGATGTTTTTGAAGGTATATTTCATTTTACAGATCAAAGTGGTAGGAATACAAGCAAAAAATGAAATTGTATTTGTAAAATGATATATCAAACACAGAGGACATCAACTAATATAAATTATAATGTGACAGCTAAAGAAACGCATACATTAAAAATAAAGTTGTTGATTAACGTTCTGAACAGTGCAGGTGAACATCAACTTTACAGCAGAAGAAAAGTGGGATTAAGTACATGTGTTTGTTTTACACAAAGACATTACATACACATCTGTGTTATACACGATGCTCTCATGAGAGTCATCAGTGTCTGCAGCACTTGACTGAAGCTATCAGAAAACGTACTTTGACATTCACAGTTATACAAAGGCTGCCAGAATGCTGCAAAATGGAAAAAGTCTGTGGTCACTGTTGGTCAGCAAAGGAAAGGTTCCAGATCACACTACCATTTTTCAAGCCAGCATGCTAATGCCAAAATCAGCAACATAAGGATGGAATTTTTTAATCCTTTCCAAAGTCTCAGAGCCAGCTGGTCACCTCCTCATTTTTGCTTTCATTAAAATGGGTCCTCAGAGTCAACACACAGCTCTTACCATGCTGCTGCTAATGTTCTCTCCAGAAAAACATTCTCATTCCTAAAAATTCCCAGTGGACTTTTTTCATAATTTATGGAAACATTTTACAGCTGGTCACCTCCTCCTGTAAAATTTGTGTAATTGCTGGTCTCAAAACACTGAATTTTCAATGATATCACTTGTGTGGCATTGTAATTACTACCAGTTACTGGAGTTGTAGGTGCTTCAGTCATTTTTTTCCAGATGACTGAAGCTAGCGAGAGCTCATAAACCAGAGTAAAGTGGGCTTGGAGAACGTTTAATAACCTAAATTACCTTCTTCAAGAATTGCTGGTGCAAAAAATCCTTTTTTTATTACAAGTTTGGAAAGATACTGAAGGGCTTGGTATTAATCAGTAGCCAACTGTGAGGTAGCTGTGCAGAAGCAGAAAGTAACCCTAGGTCAAAAAAATATGTCCTTTTAAAATTATCAGAATCTATTAATTTCTGAGAGGACAAGAAACACTATAAGAAAAATACATTTTCTTCAACAAATGCACTACGGCAGCAATTCCAAATGATGCTAGTGTTTCCAAAACCAACACTGTCAAAAGTGATTTTATATATATATATATATTTTTTTTTTTTATATTCATACACACACACACACACACACACACACACACACACACGCATATAAAAAATATGCACACTTATTTTCCTAGGCTGGCTTTATCTCAAAAACACTCTCTCAAGAAAGATGCAGTTGGTTTATCCTTTGCTAACACAAATTGCAAAACTTTCAAAGTTTCAAAATGAAAGTCAACGGAAGTTAAAATCAACAGTGTAATTTCCACTGGAAATCAGCAAATAAACTAAGATTCTTTAGTTTCACATAGAAGTGTGCAGACCTATAACTACTGAAAGGAAAGAGCACTAAGCTATTTGGAGACCAGTCTTTACAAAAGAAACCTCCTGCAGTTTGGCAAAATCAAAGTACCATCTTACTAAATTACACTACTACAAACGCAAAAATGTATTTCTTCTCCATATCTTGTTTGTGATTCATGTTATCGAGGGATCTGCTACTACTGATCACATCAAAACAAATTCCACTCATGAGTGATGCCGCTGACAATGTCACAACATACTGCAGGGGACCAGGAGCGGAGGTTTAAATAAGGTGAGAATTTGGTGCATCTCAGCACCTAGTGGCCAATAGTAGTGGGCCAACTTCTTACATTTTCCTGGGAGATGGCAGGAGAAGATATTTACAAGGGTTTCCTTTTGTACTCTGTCCATTGACCTATCACACTTTTTTTTTTTGTATCTATTAAGCCCCAGATAGGTGTTAAGCTTTTGTTCCTGGAAATAGTTTTCTGTTTCTGAAAACTGTAATTGGCATTAACATTTGATCCTTTGTTCTAAGACCTATGGGGTTTTGGGTTTTGATGTTGGTAAGGCTTGTAACAGGTCACAGGATTGTTGTTTTGAAGGTTTCTGGGACACAGACTTAAAAAGGAAAAAATAGTTGAAGGAGTTGTGTGTGAACTATGCAGAGTTAATCTGCGTTCTTGCTCTGCTTCTTTTATGAACCTTGGTCTACTACAGCCCTTTGAATCCTACAGTTTTCGACATAAGATTTTCTCAGCAAGTTATTCCTGACAGAAGTGCAGCCTTCTACCCTGTTAGGAAAGACAACTAGGGAGAAGAAAAAAATCATACTCAGCACCATTTTCTCCACTAGTGCTGAGGTTTTTGCTGCTGATGGTGCCACTGTTGCAGAAACTGCCAGACCTTTTGAAAAAGAAGAGGTCACAAATGAACCCCAGAGGAAGGGCACAAAAGCAGCTGAGCAAATGCCGAGGTGCCTTTGGGGCAGGGAGCCCACTGGCACTGCTGAGAGGGCCTAAAGACATATTATGCTGCAGCCAGGCTGGCCAGGCTGTAATCTGGGCGTAGGTCTGAGCCTCCCACTTTGGGGGGGCTCAGTGCGAGGGCTGAGTTGTGAGGGGACCCTGTCATTTGGGTTGTCTGCCTGTCCCTATGCTCTGCTGCTGGTGCCAGGGACGACCTCCAGACGTAGGTGGGTGGTTTCCATCCATCGTGCCCAGAGGGCTGGTGCCAGCACCACCTGATGCTTCACTGTCCAAGCTCCAGCAAAGCATCTTCAAGGTCT